ACAATGAGCAAAAATCCACGAAGTCCTTGGCATATTGTTAATTGCTTCGTCAATTGCGTGTTAGAGACGATCGTCAAAGTAAGTGAAAGTACATACAAAATACAAATAAATACATATGGGTGTGTCATTTTGCCAATTGACTAAAAAAAAACTTAATTCTCCCACAAACATAACCGAAAATAAGCAAATCAAAGTTTCTCAGTACTCACTAGTCATTACTCAGTAGCTCTCTATGTTGTTTATGTTATGGCATTTTATTATACTAACATTACCTGACTTATGATTTAAGTATTTAACCAGATTTAATTAAACAGAATAATATGAATCCATTTTATACATTTTCAGATGAACTTATAATCTGTACATTCTAAAGCCTAAACACATAATTCAAACCCAAAAAGGTCACATCATTGGTCAATGGTCATAATATCATTATATTGTATTATATATAATATTTTATTTGTTATATATAGAGCCATAGTGCACGTATCCAGAATTTTACTTTAGTAAAAAATTGTTTCCCCTTATTAAATTGTGCAGCCTGCATCCCCACTAATTATTATTATTATTATTATTATTATTATTTTTGTTATGTCAGTAGTTACAGTTGTGCGCGCGACCGATGAAGGTGATCGGCGTCGTTGCAAATTGTTATTTTGTAAATTGAAATAATATTGTATTTTTGTGAATTAAATAACAATTTTATTGTGTTTGTACTTTGTAATATTGTAATATTGTTTTTCCTGACAACATTGTATAGCGGCCGTACAACCGCTGGTACGTCGCTACAGCTGACAAGTCTAGTTGGTGATTAGAGCATTTTATTCACTAGAAAAAGTGTCTTCGGGCACAAAAATAAAAAAAACACATCATTGTAAAATTAATTAATTTTATTCTAAAACGCGGACAGCGATGTTAGCTCCACTCAGAATATAAAATCAAAAATCGAACGAGTAATTAGTAAGAAATTACGAAAAAAATAACGAGTAATTAGTTGTAAATTGTAATATAGTGGCTTGGTCCGTACACTGGAACTGAGGAAATGCTCAGAGTATACGTATCGATCGGTGTTGCTAGCTCCCCGATGGGTGACCACCCAGAATTTTTAGCTACAAATCTTTGCCACACATACAAACGTGTTTCAACCAACCGTTCCTCCCCCTACAAAAAAAAATGTAATATAGAAACATATATAATAATGGATGACTGATGAGTGAATGAGTGAATGAGTGAGTGAGCGGTAGAGTGGTGGTCTATCTGTACACGATAAGTAGTCGAAATAATGCTTCGATTTTCAACTTCAGTACCAATTATTATAGGTCAATTTTTTTTTAATACCATAGATATGTATATAATATGTCTTATACATAGACTGACATACCGCTCCCCTCAGAATCGTTTTTCTCATACAATGATATTATATCATTGAATTCTAATTTAATACCATCCATTATACAGTGACCCACTTGTAACCTACTGTACAGCAGAGCACCTTTTTTTAATTTTATTTATGTATAAAAAATGATTGTATGTGTGTCTGTGTGTCCATATTACCATGGCAACCATATACTTTATATTATTTTGAGATTTCCGTCCGTATGTGTCTCCATATTACCATGGCAACCAACCCCAGGAATAGATATAGAATGTTTGTCTGTGTGTGTGGGTGCGCTTTGGTTGTCATGGGTTTTGAAGCTATTATTATAATAATAATGATTGGTTGCGAAGTGCACGGGATAATTTTTTACAGAGATATATTGGACTTCTGGGCAGAAGATAGGCTAATTTAAAAAGGGAGAGGACCATCCCCGGGATATTTTTTGTTCATAAATGGTTGCCATGGGTGTCAAAGTTATTATAATAATAATTATTGGTTGCCATTGGTTTAAAATTGCTGTTATGGTACCGTTATATTATAAAATAAAACATATTATTCATACCGAGTTAGCATTTTTAATGGACAACGAAATGCATAGGATCAGCTAGTACTTAATAGGATTGTATACTCAGTTAATAAGATCGTACATAAGATATTAAGATTCTAGTCTTGGTTTTCTTCCAGATTCATCTTAAAATATATTTGAAGAGACTTTAAGACTTTAATAGGTGCAAATATTAATTTTAATTATTACTTATTAAGATTTAAGAATATTAAATAGACATTTTAATTAAAATGTTCAATTTTATCATAACAAATATTATTTATATTCAATACATGATATTCATAAAGGTTTATACGTTCATACAACTATCTGCTTAACTGCTTTATTCAATATGACCGATTCAACATAAATATTTTATACTTAGATATCAAATTACTTCAGAAATGAAAAAGTGTGATTATGACCTTGAATGAAACTATAATTTAAACTAAGTACGTAAACTACAATTTGGATAACGTTAAATGTCATAGATTATAATTTATAACACATATATATATTATACAATTAACTTCAAATTGATTAACCATTAACAATTAAAATACTAATAAAATGTATAATAGTCAAAAAAAAAAGTTTTTATTTTGCAATTTTTGTTTTTAATGAACACACTACTGAACGTCAATATACACTATGAAAAAAACAATTGGTAATAAAATAAACTACTCATTATAATATACCTAGGCCTAACCACAGAACAATAACGCAACCTTTTTTACCCGTCCATTAACAAAATTGTCTTTTTAGAATTATTTAAAATGTACTTAAGCATGCCTATATTATATATTTATTATTTATATACTTTTACGGCCAATAGATCTTATATTTAAAATTAATTTTAATTAGTTTTTATCACGATTTTTATTTACACAAACACAAAATAAGATACTCCAAAAATAATCAAATAAGATAGAATAATATGTTATTTTAAGTACACGTTATGTAAATTATAATTCCCATAATAATTACTCATTTAAAACTAGGAATTTTCAATAGATATCTAATACTAAAAAAAACTACTTAAGATAAAAATATAAAATTAATTTTTTGTTAAAATATTTGAAAAATAAGTTTTACTAGTTATTAATAATGTTAATAATTATTAATTATTAACTATTGTGCTAATAAAATATAATTTAAGTTAGGTACTTATAAATAAAATCTATTTACTTTAATTTCGACTGACTTTTAATATAAATAATATTTATTTTAGTTATTAGAGTAAACTTTGATTATTTACGAGTGCTGCAGTAAATGGAGGATAATACATTTTATTGCACTATATAATTTCCGTATGCTAATACCTTACTGCTGTGAGCTATATATATACAAATACAATATACATATATGTATGATTTGAGATGTGCATATTATGCAATTATATTATTGACGTCTAAAATAATGTGAATTTGTAATGGTGTCGTCTATAGTAAACCAAAACAATGAGTCATACACAGGGTGCATACTATATTATGTAAAATTATACTTGCTGGCCACCCCTTTATTAATCTCAAACTCTATATGACTGCATGTGGGCATGTGGCAGTACACTCTATATTTTAGTCTACCACAAAAATAATAAAGCCTTATTTCAGTATTTTTTTTCATTTTTTTTCATTTAATATATTATTATTATGATATAGACTATACGATATATTATGATATAGACTTTATAACTGATAACAATATTTTATAAAAAATAATAATAACATATTAGTCATTGTTAAGACAATGACAAATTTTAACCTAAAGATGAATTTTATTGTTCTACATACAACATACCTATTCGCAACATTTTCATGGCAACATAAATGATAAAACTATAAATCAATAAAACTTGCATAATTTTTAATTTAGGTACACAATAAATTATGACTAGGAAATTTAAAGGCACAACACTAGATTAAAACTAATTTCTTATTTACTCATTCTATTAAATGTACCAATAACTATTTTTTTTTGAATAATAACCAATAAGTTATGAAACTGAACGTGTGTTATACACGGTAATAGGTATACATTGTAATACAAGTTACATATTACTCGTATTATCTGCATTGACGTATTGTTCATCATAATATAGCTGATAATATAGTTTATGCATTTTACGGGGCATTTTATTACTCTCTCAACTTAAATCGTCAGACTCAATTTTATCATACATATATGATAAAAGTTTTCAATAGCTCAGATATTTTATTTTTTATATTTTCAGCATAATTAATTAATAAACTTTCCTTGTAATTACTTAATACAAATGAAACAATTTCCAAATTAGCCCGACAATAAATATACGTTTACAATTAAACACATTTAAAACCTTATTTAACATGCATACCTATATGATATACGTATTTAAATTATGTATTCAGGTGGAAATCTATGTTAGTAGAACGATGTCTATTGTCGATTCCTCAATACCCGAATAATATAACTGGTATTAATTATAAACGATTAAACGTAGCTTACTTAGGTATAATGGCATAGTGCATACTGCATTAATAAAAACAACATAATATTATTATTAATGTTCACGTTTTCAAACATCTGCCTATACGGCTATTAAATATGTATACCTAAAATACTTGATACATCTTGATAGTTGATAATACATATTGTTATAACTATTATTATGACAACTCTAGGTAGTTGTTGAAATATTATTTCGGTAAGAATCAGAATTGTCAGCTGTGAGCCCGAAATGCAACAATTCGTACAGAACGTCATAATACAACAATAATAAAATTGATAAGTTATCAACGCTTTATCTACACCTAAATATAGACAACTTTGTGGCGTGTCATGATTATCGACCGTCGCGAGTGCAATTTATAAACAGACTATGTTTTCAGTGTTTGCACGCACATCGAAAAATCATAGCACATTTTTAACTCTTACATATTAAACTATTGAACTATAGCTATATCGACTATTAAACTACTTATAGGTGTTCATAACACCCATGTTATTTACAGAAATATATTATAATTATTACAGGAATTAGGATGCCATTGTTAACATGCAACGATAATAACACTGTAACAGCAATAACTCGCTTACCGGAGTGTCGTACTCGTCCTGCTGATAGATGTCCTCGTTGGAGGACCGTTGGTGCGAAAACGACTGTTTCCTACCCGATTTCTTGTCCGACGACTTTGGAGAACTCATAGCGGGTCGCACATAACCGCCGGTCGTCGTCCTATGATAATAATATGTAAACGCTTATGTGGTATAAGTGAACAACAAAATAATTCCCGTCGACGACGAAACGCGATGATTTAATATATTGCGTACCGAACAGTTGTCGCTGATATTTCTATAGTTAAAAAATTCGAATAATTTAAAAACGACAATAACAAATAAAGATAAACGCAACCGTATCCAATAAAATAAAATATGTAAACAATTCGAGTGTATAAAATGTGTGGTGGCCCACGAGTAAAAAAAATAAACGGTAAGTAGGTATTGTTTAAAACGTTTTAAAAATTATTATTGCAGTCTAATGAGTTAAATTATTATAATGAACAGCCGCGGTTTCGACCGGATGGCGGTCGCTAACACAAACGTCAATACGGCGCGACGACGACTGACTGCCCGCCGTCGCACGAGCGGCGGCTGCGGCGCGTGCGTATGATCAGCTGTTCGCGACTACCGCCGCGTCGCTCTCCCTCCGCGGGCAAGAGTGGCGATGGCATCGGTGGCTTCCCGGCGGCGCGACGTCGCCCATCGATTTAATTGATATTAATAATAATAGTAATAAATACTTGGTACGAAAATAAAAACCACATCTGACACGAGCGCCACAACTCGTTTCGCGAAACCGGAAAGTGGCGGAAACGATACTGCGTACAATATTGCAGGTGTGAAAAGTTTGTAGTTTTTACTTTTTACCATGCACTCGTCGAGCGTACATTATAGGTATATAGCCATATAGGTATATTATAATATATGCACGACTGATTTAAGTACATAATATAATAGTATTTTATAAGTATATAAAGAAGAATATTAAATATTACAAATCGACATATTATGTACCTATAGTACAAAAGTGTACCTAGTAGAAGCCACAATAGATGCCGGATGTTGGGTGATGTGCTGTATTATAGCTGACCACTAAAGACGGCTCTTTGTTGATCGAAACTTATAATAAACTAGGTACCTATACGGCTATACGAAAAGACGAAAACTATAGGTCTGCAAATAGTTATAACTTATAACATAGGTCATAGAGTAAAATTAGAAAAAGTTAATAAACAATTATTATTTTAAATATTTGTTTCGAACATAATCTACATACCTGTATATTCTATATGTGTAAGTCGGCTGTAGGTATGAAGTAATAAGCAAGGCTGGGCATTAACGAGTTAATAAGTTAAAGTTAAGTTACTTTTAACTAAGTTAAATAACGAGTTACTTTTTTTTTTAAAAGTAACTTCTAACTTAACGATTTACATTTTTCCCCAAGTTATTCAGTAACTTAACGAGTTAATTAATTGTATTGGCACGTTAAGTTAATTTTTTCCTAAACCACATATTATTTAAAATTAATTCAATTTTGTAAAATTAATTACATAAAAAAAAACCCGAAATATTAAATATATTTTATTAAATAATAATTTATAATAATAGTAAGTTTTTATATTGCATATTCACAGAAAATATTTTATAACTATATTATAGAGGGAAATATCATAGGGGTAACCGCATTAAAGAAAAATATAACAATTTACTCAGTACCTAACCTATACCTAATCATTATTAATATCATTACTTATTATTATATTTTTATTCATTCATAGAATTACGATGATAACTTGGCCCGTCGATGTAAATAATACCCGTAGTAGTGTGGTATTTACTATTTACCTAATTAAAGTATAATACACAAAATTAATATAAGTACCTACAGTAACTAATTTTATTACAAACATTTATTCAAATATTGTAAGACATTTTTTGATTTACTGAATTATTATGTTATTTGTTAGCTTTAAAAAAGGTAGGTAGGTAAGTATAATTGTTAATTTTATTTTAAAAAAAAAAGTAACTTATTTTTAACTAAGTTAAGTTACTTTTATTTTCTAATTAACTTGTAACTTTTACAAGTTAAAAAAAAATGAAGTTAACTTTTAACTTTAAGCTTAACTTACATTTTTCTATATTAACTTAACTTAACGAGTTAAAAAAAATAGTTAACTTGCCCAGCCTTGGTAATAAGTGCCGTGTCAAAGATCGTAAACGCCGATTATTAATTTGTATGACACATTATGTAGGTACTAAGGTACCTATAGGCTATACATCATAAATAAGAAACAAAATATATTATTTGTATAGCTATATCTTAAGCGAGCATCCTGCGGTGCGAGTGAAATACGTCACTGCAATCGCAATTCGCAACGACATGCTTCAATAGTGCTATGGGCTATGGTACACAAACATATTAATACTTTTATATCCTACGACCTATAGGCCAATACCTAATAACTAATAAGTAATTAGTAATAGGCTATAATTTAGTAGGTATATAATACAATACAAATATAATATTGCTATGGGTAATAACTAATAAGTAAACCCAAATGAACGTGAGAAAACGTTCTGATTTACGATGTACCATATACGGTAACAGATGCGCGTGGTATAGGTTCACTGTAAAAATATAATTTTTACTTGGCTAAACATATAATTATTAAATTATACCTTCAGTGGCATACAAAAGTGAGGGGGAGGGTTACTATACATATTTGATATATAAATAATGAACACGATTTAAAAAACATTTTTATATATGAAAAAAACAAATGCTTTTAGTCATAGTATTGATTATGTTATGTAAATATTTATTTATAATCAATGTTTATAGTAATATGAATAGTAATATTGATTGTGTGCTTCATTAAATTTAAATTATATAAGTACTATAAAGTATAAAAATGTCAGCATATATAACCGACTGAAATGCTGAATCAACTGATGCATTACAATGTACGAGAACAATATTTAAGAACAGTATCTAATCGAAAATATTATAATATGTTTTTAGTTTTTATACATAAAAGTATATAACAATTATAATTAGGTATCCAGCGACCCGGCAGTGTCGAGCCACGCATAAAAAGAAAATAGCGCCTTAAAATACACACATAGGCAAAGCACATTCTAAGCTGCTGGACTATAACAACAAACAACATGATTCACGAAAAAAATGTCTTGAGAAAGCATACCAAACTCATAGTTAAACAATAAAGTTTTAAAATATAATAATCTAATTGGAAATTGTACGTAGAAGTACATGGTGTAGTTTTCAAATAGTTTTGAACAAAATCAACAGTTATAGCCAATTTAACTAGAAACTATTGTAGCGTATTTTCAACATTTTAATATTCCTCGCGGCCTGCATTACAATGCACTATCCAACACCGGCAACACCTATCACCCATGTCAACCAATATACAAAAAAAAGCGGGTAAGTGGATGTCGCTCTGCTGTACAGTAGGTTACAAGTGGGTCATTGTATAATGGATTGTATTAAACTTGAATTCAATGATATTCTATCGTTGCATAAGAAAAACGATTCTGAGCGGAGATAGTTTGTCAGTCTGGATATTTTATATTGTCATAAATTATTATATCATGTAAGATGAATTAATACTATAATATTATTATTTTTTATTCGTTTCTATGGTAATACACAAAGCGTTGGAAATTAAAATCCAATTTTTAGCGGTTTTTCGTAATTTTTCGGTGGTTTTTACCGTGGCATTAAATAACTATTGATAAAGTCGAAAAATGACCTCTCTAAAGTACCATCTTGATCCAATTTGCTAAAAGATAAGATACTATACGTGGAAATCGAAGGCTTCTGGTAGAAATGTTGTATACAGAATATAAAAAAAAATTTAAAAAAACAAACACCATTGTAAAACCACTAGCTTCCTCACTCCGGTCAGAATCTAAAATACTAATTTCTTCTATTACTATTATAATTTTCAACCAATGGCAACCATTTATTAACTAATAAACTTATTTCAAAAAAAAAAACATCATTGTAAAACCAATATATTACCGAAATATTAAGACACCAACAAAAAATGAGTGATATCCCATCAAAATACTCCGCCATACTCCGTGTGAAAAAAATGGCTCTTAAAGTGATGATATAATCTTATAAGTAGCTGAATTATATATATCATTTATGTTAAAATAATCTGCTAAAAAATTTAACTTAGCTTGCAGGCAACTTCAGTTAAAAATTTAAAAATAATATAGCATATAATGGGTACATAATAATAATAATAACATGGTCTAATATCATTGAAATAGATAGTGTAATCAAGACGTGTTTTAATGTCGCCAAGCTAGGTTAAATTTTTTAGCAGATTATTTTAAAATAAATGATATCTATAGTTCAAAGACTTAGCTAGCTATAAAATTATATCACAATACTTTAAGCGTCATTTTTTTAATACTTAGCGTTTTTTTACACGGAGTATGACGAAGTGTTTTTGTAGGGATTATAAATTAAGTTAAAACTGTAAATTAGACTACCAATCACGTTTGTTAAAATATAAATGTTTAATTAGGTTTTGTCTAATTTGAATTCAATTAAATTATTTATTTTTTTCGATTTCCTATGTTGAGTAGGTATATTATTTTTAAATCTCAATGATATCTCAATATCTGATATTCGCATGGGTACCTACTATATAAAAAAATCTCAAATTCCAAATAAATTATCGTGTGTGTTACCTACACTTATATGTATTAAGTGATTAAAAAATATACATATTTTAGTCGAGGGTCGAATAAAAAAAACCATAATTTATCTACTTTTTCAATCTTTGCAAGTAGGTAGGTAGTAGGTACGCATATTATGCTCTTTTAATATCTAAAAGGTAATTAACAAGTGCCAACCTATATCTGATTTTGTTGGCATTAATTAACTATAATAAAATGTTATTATAAGGTAGGTATTAATAATTTATGATAATATTCGTTTTGTATATTATGTTAAACTTGTTTAGTTAATTTACTTAACCAGTAGGTATATTTTATGTCCTCAAAACTAATAACATAATGTATAATTTAGAAAATCTTATTTTTTACATTTTACGTTATATTGAAAACGTCGCACCAAATTAAAATAAATTCATTTTAATTTCTAA